CTCTCTCTCTCTCTCTCTCTCTCTCTCTCTCTCTCTCTCTCTCTCTCCTTCTCCTTCTGTTTTAAATGACTGACCAATATAGAACATACACTCAGTCAATACCAGCCATATATGCTGGACCTCTTGTTGTTAGTCATGTAGCAGTGAACTAAAAGGACAAAATCTTTCAGCAATATAGCTATTAACAGGCTCTTTAACAATATACTTTGAGATAGTATCCTAGAGATACTGATAAGTGATCTGAAGAAAATTTAAGCAATTAGGAATGTAGAAGATGTGAGCAAAAAGAAACAATGCTATTTTAACTTATTTATAGTTATCATGAAAGCATCTTGTAACATATATAACACTGTAGGTATATATACACACAAGGAAACAAATGGTAAGAGGAAAATTATTAGGATATGGCAGGTTAAGACCTACATACAGGTCAATTTTTGTTTCTTTGTACAAATTTTGTATCTTTAAAAAGTATCTTAATTTGGTTCATTATACGATACTAAATTTCCATGAACATATGCATAAAATGTCAAACATTATGGATTCAAGTACACACACATTAACTATAAGCCTGTGATCATTTTTCATAGTCATAAGCATGTCTGAATATGTGTTGCCAATTTGCATGTTTCCTTGCTCTTTAAGAAAGTAGAGTATCGCCATTCCAGATTAACATGTCTTTAGGAGTTTAGGAATAAAGTCAATTACTTTGTTATTCCACTTTTAGATAATTGCTACAGGTATGTATTGAAATTATGATTAGAGACCAAGCCTAGTATTTGCTGGGGGGAGAAAGAAAGAAAGAAAGAAAGAAAGAAAGAAAGAAAGAAAGAAAGAAAGAAAGAAAGAAAGGAAGGAAGGAAGGAAGGAAGGAAGGAAGGAAGGAAGGAAGGGAAGAAGGAAGGAAGAAAATAGTAAGAAAAGCCCATCAAACCAAAAAGCACCACTCAATGCCCCTGAATAATTATTAAACGTTAAAGGATTCCTTTTATGCATAGTTAGCCTGGTTATATATTTGGAATGAAAAAGGATCAGGAAAGGGGATATTTGAGAGTTGATAATTACAGTAAACATAAGCATACATACTGTTCTTGCCAAACTTATTGTGAAATTTAAAGCTAAAGAAGTATAGAAAAATATGGATAATACACAGAAAGATGGAAAAGAGCAGTTAAGGAAATCTGTTCAGCTCTGAGAGTGTCAAGTGCTATGGAAATTAATGAAATCAAGACAAATAGCAAGCAAACAAAAACATTAATTAAAGCTTGGCTTTACCTACTCTGAAAGAAGCATATGGTAAGAGAATATTAATACATGTAGAACAGTTCACAGAAGACCCATGAAACAGTCAATGTACTGAGTCTATACAGATAGCTACTCAGGTGAATGGTGTTTGTTCTTGAGGTGGCATTGCCAGTCATTCAAAACACAATTGAAAAGGCTTGTAGCTTCCTTAATTTTGAACCCTTTAAGTTCCCAATGTCCCCTCAAGAACACTGGATTAAATGAATGCACAGTGCTGTAAAACTAAGAAATCTCTTCACTCTTATATAATTTAAAGGATATCTATACACAGGAATTATGATAAATAAAACTTTCAGGACCTCAGTCAAGGTCTTTAGGAAATTAGGTGTCAGAGAAAACCAGCTGATGTGCATAATTTGGGTTAAACTCTTGAGATGGCGGATGATTTAGGGTCTGAACATACAAGGGAGATACAGATGATCTCTCAAAAAAGATTCCAGAATGTTCATTAATCATGGAAGAGTGAATGTGTTGTATATATAATATAGGTGAGAATATTAAAAGTGTAATTTAAAGAAAGTGTATCCAAATAATTATAAATAAAATACAACAAATTAAAATAAACAATACTAGTAAAATCATGAAGAATTTATCCATGATTGACAGTTTAATGTTTAAAAAAAATAAGAATGCAAACACAATTTTAAGGGCGAATTTCAGTCATTAACTGGACAAATTAACAATATCACTAACAGAATATAGCTCATGATACTCTAAACTATAGTTTGCTTGAGTTTGAGACAAAGATGTCCCAAGTACAGGATCTGTGAGTTTCAGTAATTTTTTTTCCACTTCTTGATTGATCGGCAATATTGTCCACTACTGGAATTAAAAACAAACAAACATGATAACTACTTGCCTCCTAGGTTTAATGGAAGAATGAACTGAGGTTAAAAACAAGTACTTAGTAGAGTGCCTGTCATGCAGTGAGGGTCCCATACAGTCTGGTGCTGTCTTTGCTCCAGTAGCACAGTCCACTTGTGACTCAAATGGAGCCCTGAAAGCATGGTAGCTCTGTATATTCTGCTCAGGATTATAGCTTCAGGTTCCAGTCCTGAGCTTGCTCACCGCAACCTAGCAATATCTAAGTCGGTTAAAGTAGGGAGATCCAAAAGCTGTCTTTGTTTCAGGTTGTAAACAAACAAACAAACAAACAAAAAACCCAAATGCCAATATAATCAAATACCATTGTACGACTTAATGCTATGAGCACCAAATCAGTTCAACCAGAGTCATTTAAAAAGATTCTGAAAGATTCATAGTAACTCAACACCTGAAACAATGTCAAGCCCAGGTGGATTTACAGTTCATCACTCATGAATCATGTATGTCAGGTGATAGGCTCAACTCTCCCAGAAATCCAAAAGAGCAATAAAGAGCATGTTTGAACTTTTAAAGCCTCTTTTCTAGTAGTTAGCCATAACCACATCTTCTATATTTTGTTTTCAGGTTCCTCTTAGACTATAGGGGCATTGAAATGCAAAAACAGATAATAATAAGATGGAGCGGATTGAAAGAACTATTCAGATAAAACCCCATCCACTAACAACAAACAGGCAATGCTTTAGACTATATTATCGGATTTACTTCCTAATACCTCTGTGCAATTGAGCCCTGGGATGAGCAAAAATAACAATGTTCAAACTAAATTACGGCTTAAAAAGCTGTAAAGAGATCCATAGTCAGATCAAACATCACTGTGGATGTTTAAACAGATCACTGTGGAAAGAGCCAGGGAAAGACTAGCAAGAAGGTGTGTTCACCACTGCCAACAAATGCTAGTCACAGTAACCTGTGCACTTACGATTTTACCATTGCCATCTAAAGCAAAGGCCCACTTTTGAATTAGTGTGAAACACAGTGGCACTTTTAAATCAAAAAGTTTTGAAATGACACTCTACCTGCAAGGCACAACATGAATGATTGCAGCACTAGCAGTTCCCATGGCAACCTCATCTTCAGTTTCCAAGGTCAAAGGAGTTTCAAGTCCAATAACAAGTGAATAGAACTGCTGCTTCTGTTCCTTTTAAGCTTTGTGCAACCTTTAATCTGTGGACAAGAAGAAGTATTACAATGAGATTTGGCTCCATGTCTCCTTATGGTTTCTGTATATCTGCCTTTAATTGAGTAAGAATAAAATCCACTTGTGGGATATATTATTGAAAGGAAAGAAAGAATACTGAGTTATGAATATAAAGACAAACAAGCTCCTACTTCTATTTTATTTTGAGATTGGCTCACTCCATGTAGCCCACACTGGATCCAAACTTCAGATTCTTCTGCCTTAGTCTCTTCAGTGCCAGGATTACAAATGTAGACTCATAAGCCCAGCCCACTTCATATTCCATTCTTTCAAATAAGTCTTAGGCAAGGACTGGGGCTAATATGCCCCTGTACATACCTGGTAATATAACAAAAACTTCTGTTGATTGGGTAGGCATTAATGTAAAGGCAGAGAAAGAGAGCCTGATTTATCTGATTATTTTCTGTCTTTTAGTATTATATCCTGTTATTTTTTTCCAGCAAACAATAAATCAAAAAAAAGTAGAGAGAGAAATGCCCACAGAATAAGATAAATACTGTCAGCTTTCAGAGAACTTATGGTGAACACTGAATTTCCACATTGAAATTGTGTAGGGAAATTGAAATTACTCCACCCATTTATATATTTTCCATTTATGTATTTTTCAGATGCATATTTTATTTTAAAATTGCTATCATATGGCTATGATTTTTATTAGTATGCTCTTGGAAGGTTCATGTATAAGATGATTGGCATGAAATGTTGTAAAGTAAGAGATAATGAAACCTGAGAAAGAGGAGAGTTAGTGGGACCTGATTATGCTTCTGAAGGAGATGTTCTCAGAAGGGTTTAAGGTAAGTTCTCAATGGACCCCTAAGTCTTTGCAAGAGTGAACTATAACAGAAAGCCAAACTTACTCATCAACTCACTCATCCTCTGGATCCTTTCTGTTAGAGTGACATCTTTCTCTTACATATATACTTTCCTTCCATCCAGCAGAGTTATTGCCAGAATTAGTACCATACTCTTTGGACTTTAAACTTATAAAACTGTGGGCTACAACAGCCTTCCTTTTCTACATAAGTAGCTGCCTGAGGTATTTTATTAACTTGAAGAAAAATGGGCTAATACTAAAGGCAACCAAAGTACACATCTCCACTGTCTAGTGAAATAAACCGTATCAATTATAAGTTGCTGTCAACTGGGTTCACATGGAGAACCCAAAACAAAATAAAAGAAGAAGGAACTTATGCTATTGGTAGGAAAATGGATAGAATGGAAGATAATCATAATAAGTAAATTAACTTAGTCTGGGAGAGATAAGTGTCACTTTGATTTCTCTCATTTTTGGATCCTGGTCTCATAGGGATTTAAATTTACATATGTCCAGATGACATGAAAGCAGAAGAAAAACTGCCTAGAAGGACTGAGAGAACTAATGTGAGGGAACTGGGGAGAAGGGATAACATTGAGGGATGGTGGGAAGTAGGCTCATAGTGTGTCATGTACGTGCATGAAAATAACATCATGCAATGCTGTAAAATAAAACCAAATTAAATATAAAATATAGAGAATTTTAAAATAGAGTAATTCATCCTAGGATAACTGCTGATAAACAATTTCTTTAAACAGACAAGCATAATAGTTTTCGTATTTGGCCAGAAATCTTAAACTAGAACTCTGAAGTGAAGTGTGTCTCTTTATTCTGTGAAATTTTTAGATGTTACATAATCAAATGTAGGAAAACACAGGCTTTAAGGAGAGCCTGGACAGCTCCTGGCAGAAAGGGGAAGGCTCTACTCATGCCCAGGGCAAACAGAGAAAGGACATGTCCAGATTTGTAAAGTACAAAACTTTTCAAAGAAACACTCAACAATATTGTATTTTGAAAAGTGGTCAAGTTTTAATGATTGGCAATCAGCTTAAAATATTTTAAGATGAGATCAGGTACGTGCAGTGAGACTGAACTTTTGATGTGAATGTTTGGCCTTAAAACATTTATAGCATTCCTTCTAAAGCTGAGAGTACATTGCAAAGAGGGAATTGGAAGCATGTAAAAGCAAGGAGATAGAGGGATAAGCTATAAAATGCCATCTTCTAGACAAGACACAGCAGTGTAATCAGGAATTCACAGCAGATACCTATATGTGCACTGGCTCTACACAAGAATAGCTCATCAACACTCAGGCATGGATGGATGGAGTGCTGAATTATTAGTACTGGATCTGTTAAGGAATAGAAGAGTCTCTGCCTTCTAGTTTGTCTCAACTGGTGAGCTCACTAGATACTTCAACCAATATTCACCCAAATGGTTCTAATTAACTAAGTGGGTCAAGAATCAAATCAAATGTCACTAGGGACTGGTTTGGATGATAGTGTGGGAGATGGGATAAGAGAGGGTGAGGTGGAAGATGAGAATCGTCAGGAAACATTATATACATGTGTGTATGAAATTCTAGAAATGTGATTAAAAATAAGGAATTTACAAATGTACAATAGATGATTGTTTTTTCCATTGAACAGAATTCACAGTCTTGGAATGAACTTATGGATTACAACTTCCCAGGCTTTCAGTAAAATTTTCTGAGTCAGAGTCTCCAGAGTCTGAGTATAGAAATCATCAAAAGTTACCTGTGTGTGAAATCTGGTCTGCTAAAGGTTGTAGATGGTGCTTTTGTGAAAGACTGTATGTATTTGCATCATAGAAAATAATTTCATACTCTCATAAATATGTATTACATATCCACTGTTTTGGTTAGTTTTATGTCAATTTAACACAAGCTGGAGTCATTTGTGAAGAGATAGTCTCAAGAATAAGAATGTCCCTGCCAGAGTAGCCTGCGGCAAACCTGTGGTGAATTTTCTTCATTGGTGACTCGTGTGGGAGGGCCCAACCTATTGTGGGCAGTCCTATCTCTGGGCAGGTATTCCCTGAGTAGACAAAAAGCCTTTTGAGCAAGGAGCCAAGAATAAGCCAGTAAGCATAACTCTTTGATGGCTTGATGGCTTGCTTCTAAAACAGCTCCCATCTCCAGGGTCCTGCCCTGTTTGAGTTCCTCTTTTGATTTTCTTCCTCCTCAAGGTCAGGGTGTTTTATATCAGCAATACAAATCCTAACTGAGAAGTTTACTTAGGTGATGCTATTTTTCAATAAATCTAATGATTAAAATTTTTAAACAAATTGCACTCTGGTACATTGCTACATGGTTTCAGTGCTTCCTCTCTTCCTCATGGCTTCCATATGGCTGGGAGGCAGTCATGCAGGATACTCATATGGAGTACCACCTGTTTTCCAAATGAACAAGAGACTGTCTCTAGGTCCTAGGAGCCCATGTTCCAATTGAGACAGCTAGCCACAACTCCATCAGGTAGTAATATATACTTTTATTACGGAAGGATAAAAACTTCCTGGCTTGGAAAGCCCTCAGCAAGTCGATGAAAGCAGAATATGACTCTTTCAACACACCAGGTTACCACATAAGTAAAAGCAAAGAATTCCAGAGAATCATGAAACTTGAAACTCTGGCAGTAACTAGTTGTGTAGTCCTAGGTATTTCTTAGCTTTTCCATGAAGGTTAAAGGTTATTCTGGGGGAAAAATATCCTGGTTAAGACTATGAAATCTCTTTGAAAACTGTACAACACTAAAGTTGCCACATATACTGATTATTCAGCCTCAGCCACACATACATGCATATATATATATATGCACACATATATATGTGCATGTATAATATAATATATATTACATATTATAAATTATATATAAATTATTATATTTTATAAAATATAATTATATATAATAATATAAATATATATATTATAAATGTAATACATATGCACATCATGGAAACATCTGATTATTTAGCCTCAGGCACACACACACACACACACACACACACACATACATACATATACATGTACATGTGTATGTATGTATAATAAATGTAATACATATGCACATCCTGGAAACACCAGTATTCTTTAATTGAATATAACCTGAAATTTCTCATCGCATTCTCATGCATGACCAACACACTGGGAGCAAATACAGGCTTCTGTGACAAGGTGCTCTTAGGATTAATTTACACTACCTGCCACTGAAAAGCCTTTATGTCTGGCGGGAAGACAATAGAAAATGAGCTATCATCATTAGAGACGTTGTCTTTCTTCTGTGGTTTTAAATAGATCCAACTGTGATAGAGCCAGACTTAATATGTTGTGAAGAAAAGAGGAACCTTTGACCTGTAATCTGCTGATGGGGCTGAACGTGGGATGCATCTCAAACTGGACCTGTTCAGATACACTTATAACATGAATGGTGATTAGGGCATTTGGATAAACAGGATGTGCTGATCAATGAAAACTATTAATGTCTAAAGTGAGTGATCAGAGTATTAATAATTAATTTGCCCAGGTAATGTCATCTCAGATCTAGAGATTGATCTATAATGTTAAGCAGTTTCTAGAAGCAATTAAAACCAGCTTAGGAAATATATCCAGTTACAAGACCGAGATTTAGCTTATGATGTGACACTATTTGTAAGGCATATTCTGTGACGAGCCGAAGACTCTAAAGAAGGAGAAATTCTAGAACTGTATGGATGTTTATTTATGTTCAGTTTTCTAAGGTTCACCCTTAATAATCAAAAATAATGGCAACCTTGATGGTCATTTTTCTAGTGGGCAGGATTATCAGAAGCAGGAGGTTGTCTGAAGGATGCTGGAGATTCATGACCCTCATGTGGCACAATGGTGCAGGATAGAAAGTTTCATAATTTCGGTTTTCTTGCCAGTGCCAGAAAGGAAGGTGCAGGATAAGCTGAGAGTTATGGTGGCAATAGATCTCCCATGCATCTTTGAGCTCTCTCTGCTTTATTGGAAGGTGGCTGCAGCAGAGGTAGTATACTATGCACTAACTCTGAGATCTTCTCCAGGACTGACACACATAAATCCTGGAGAGGC